ATCCCTCATGTAGACTGACTGTAATTAATAAAAGAATGAGTGGTTTACCTATTTTATCTTATTTTATCCTATATATCTTATATCTTATATGTCATAACCTGTTTGTTACCTCCTGTTTTTACAAAATTTCATTAAAAAAAAAATATTGTGGTTTTCTCAACTTTCGGTTATTTTATAATTTTTCATGATATATATATATATAGACTTTTTTTTTAATTTTATAAAAAAAAAATGAAAAAACAAAAAGGGAAGAGAGATAGATAGATAGAGACAGAGACCGAATAAAACAAAAGAAAAGAAAAAATGCGTGGGTGCAATCGAAGCAGTAAAAATAATAAGAATCGAAAAGACTGCCGATTAAGGTACACAATTGAAAGAATAAAACTTCCAAGGATTGAAAAAAAATAGTAAAGGAAGTTGGGGACAAACAATTTCCCGCTAACTCAAAACGGTGCCGTTTTGGGGTGCCTACAAGAAGTCATGTAACGGCAAAACTACGCCTTTTGTCCCTTCGTCGGACGCTCTTTATCTTCTTTCGTAGAAACATATGTGTTTTCGTGCTTTCTTCAGCCTTTTGTTATTACCCGACAAAACAACCTTCCGAACACCCCCCCCTCTCTCTCTGATGATTTTTCTCTCTCAATCAAGACAAGGAACATGCCTCCCTCCCTTGTTTTTTTGTACCAAAATTTGTAGCAACAGCAGTACTGCCATGAAACCACTGCACATACAAGTCAGAACTGTCCCAAAACATGCTCCCCAAATCCTCTAAACTATAAATGAGATACAAGCCCTTGCAAGAGGTTTTCAAGGGTCGAGATTATTATCTTGCATCCAAGGGTCACGGTTGAGCCAAGAGGGCTAGATTGAGCTAAGAGGTCAAGGTTCTACGTCTTTCCCTTTGCACTATAAATGAGAGACTTTGAGGATTTTATATTCTCAAGTCAAGTTCATACCTGAAAGAGTGTTGTCATGTTAGCTTTTATTAGCTAGTTAATTTCTGCCTTGGTGCTTTTTTGTTGTTCTTTCTTTTTCTTGTTAGCTTGGGACCTTTTTTGGCCAGAATTTTGCTCCAAATTTTTTGCCAAAATCTGGCCATTCTTTCCCTTCTCTTTGCAGAAATGTATAGTAAGACCGAAGGAGGAGCTTGTTCTAAGCCAAAATGTGAATTATTGTAGCTTGAAAATGAGGGGATCGGAAAACATTGGCAAAAATGGCAAGGGAAACTGGGATTTTTTTTTTTGCCATTTTTGTCAATTTAGTCCTTATTTTTATATATTTTCCTTATTTTAGTAGTCCAACGTAAAATGCTTTCAATTGTACCCTTCATTTGTCCATGGGGCAAATTTGAAACAAAAATGTTTTGTTTTCGATTTATGCCTCTTTTAGATTATTTTCGTCAATGTCTTGACTGTATTATTTTATTTGATTAATTTAGCTTGGTTTACCTTTACTCTTTTTTTTCCTCCCTATTTTGCATAATAAAATGTTGAGAAAGACAATGTTTTGTTGAAAGTTTGTCCATTTGGATCAGTTTAATCCCTATTTTGTTAGATGGATTTCTTTTTAGTGGCTTTATTTTGGTTATTTTTAATTAGGCATATACTTTATATTTTTAGTAGATAATTTAGTCTTTTTTTTCTTAGCATAAATAAATGTTATAGTTTCTCTATTCTCATGCATTGCTATATATATGATTCACAAGATAGAAGTTAAATAGAAGGGCTAGTTTGCCAACTTTTTTAGTACAAGATTTGGTTTGCACATGAATATTTAATTATCTTGATGCAACAGAGAACTACATTGATAGGCAGAGCACTTGTCCAAAAACGAAAAAAATAACATTGGTAGGCAGAATTGCTAGTACTCTTCTGCCTTAGATTACTGGAGGTTTGATTCTAGTTCGTAGAAGAACGTCCCTGATGGATTGCAGTTCCTTGACAGCATCATCTATGTCTATTCGATCTCCAGGAGACTCCATGGAGCATGCAACACCGATCTTTACCATGGAAATCAGACACTCCCTTGCAACGTCCTGCGTTAGATCTTGATTGCTATCAACTGTTCTACCATCAGCGTTTAGAAGCTGTGGGTCTATAAGCTTTGCAAATTGATCTGGCACAGCCATCCTAGCAAAGATATGAAGAGTAAGGCCTTCTTTGAACAAATTGTCAGTGGGTTTCCTTCCTGTCATCATCTCTAACAGCATTATCCCATAGCTATAGACATCTCCGCTAGTGGACACTTCACTTCCTAGACCATACTCTGTTCCAAATAAAAATTAATGTTAAAGAGTGAAAATTTTGTAAAAATAAATGGAAGGTAAAGGGAAGTGAATCTTTTGACCTGGAGCAGTATAACCAATCATTCCTCTGACTGCAATTGAGCTGCTTTGATTTGAATTTACGACCGGAGGGTGAAACTTTGCTGGACCAAAATCTCCAACATAAGCAAACATGTCATTGTCAAGAACATTGCTTGGTTTTAGATCACAATGAATGATTGGAGTTTGGCAATGGTGATGAAGATACTCAACAGCATTTGCTATGTCAATGGCAATATTTATTCTTTGTAGAAGGCTTAGACTGCTAGGCTGTGCTTGCTCGACATCTGCTTTTGAGACTGGATGTAAGTTGTAACCACTTATCTAGGCTTCCATTGGGCATGAACTCGTAAACAAGAGCCTTGAAATCATTTGCTTGAAAATCAATGCTTGAACAGCAAGTTATGATCTTCACAAGATTCCGGTGGCGTACATTGGCCAAGGCTTTGCACTCGGCTAGAAAACTCTTAGAAGCTCCATAAAGTTGAATGGAACATCACCTTTGATTTTATGATTGTGATGAGTGATGATTTAATTGATATCGTATTAAATATTTTACATTTAATATTTTATCTCTAAATGATAGAGAAGAAGAATATCATATTTTCCTTTTGGATTGAAGCGTCCCAAGATAAGAAGCTTTCAAACCTTTCTTTAGGAGGCTACTCCTATTAGATTTTAATACGATTGTGATGAGTGATGATTTGATTGATGCCATCATTAAAAATTTTACATTTAATATTTTTGTCTTTAAATGATAATAGAGAAGAATATCGTGTTTCTCTTTTGGATCGAAGCACCTCAAGGTAAGAAGCTTTCAAACCTTTCTTCAGGGAGGCTACTCCTATTGGATTTTAGTACGATTGTGATGAGTGATGATTTGATTGATGCCATCATTAAAAATTTTACATTTAATAATTTGTCTCTAAATGATAATAGAGAAGAATATCGTGTGTCTCTTTTGGATCGAAGCACCCGAAGGTAAAAAGCTTTCAAACCTTTCTTTAGGGAGGCAACCCCTATTGGATTTTAATACGATTGCGATGAGTGATGATTTGATTGATACTATCATTAAAAATTCTACATTTAATAGTTTGTCTCCGAATGACAATAAAGAAGAATATCATGTTTCTCTTTTGGATCGAAGCCCCTAAGGTAAGAAGCTTTCAAAATCTTTTTCTAGGGAGGCAACCCCTGCCGAAAGGAGTTGGTGCCTTTCGGATACTCTAAACACGTTTAATGGATTAGTATCTTTCGAAGAGTCTGTAGACCTTGATTGGACCTAATGAGTTTTGGAGTCGGAGATCTTTGGACCCTTCTATTGGATTATAGTTGGAAAAAACTCCCCATCACATATAATACAGTTTAATTTAATAACAATATATAATATATGAATATAAAGGGGAAAAAAAAAGACTCAAACAATCTTATTACTAACATGTAGTTTCGCCTATTTTCATTTTTAACAAATAATATTTATTTTGATTCTTTCTACAATAATAATAATAAAAAAAAACCTCATTTTTGTTCTTAATATTCATATTATTTTAAAATAGTCAAGAATTAGTTTTTTTTACAAGCGCAATACTACGGGTCAGATATAACTCATAAAATTATTTTAAAAAATTTATTTCGAGTTTGATATATCGTGTTATATTGTGAGTCTACCAACACATATCGAATAAAAATGCATTTAATTTTATAAGTTTTTAATCAAAATTTTATATTTTGCTGATTATTCTTTATATTTTTCATAATTTTTTTATTAAAAAAATTTACTTATTTATCTCCATCCACATTCTTAACTAAAAAATTTATAATGATGTGAGAAAAAAATATCAAAATTAATAAATTCTTAGCTAAAAACTTATTTTGCAAATTAATTTTTTCAAAAAATTTTTTTGCCTTAAAATTTTTAATTAAAAAATCAGAGAAAAAAAGGAAGGACCAAAATGAAACAAAAAAAATTACGAATTAAAAAAACATTGTTTAAAAAAGAAGGATCAAAGTGTAATATTATAAAAATTTCATAATAAATGACTTCTTAAAAAAATCTGAAAACTATAAAAATATCACTATATAATAAAAAGAGCAACATACTGAATTTTGATAACCAGTATTTTTAAATATCTTTCAAATAATACATTGAATAAAAATTTTCGTTAATGGCTTCTACGTAATTTTGTACTGTATTTTTAACCGTTTTTCAAGTTAATTATGTCCTTTAGCCCAATTCATTCCTCGTGATGGAGGCCCACTAGTTCCTGGGCTACTAGTGAATATTGTTTGAGCTTTATTGCTGGGCTCAATCTGTTCTGCGTTGTGCAGCCTGGCCTTATGATCTGGACCGACCTCGTAAACCGTTATGAAACAAAAGGAAAATGTGGTTCTCTCCCTCTTTCTTCCTCCTCCTCCTCCTCCTCCCCTCTCTCTCTCTCTCTCTCTCTCTCTCTCTCTCTCTTCTGCCACTAACCAATCTCTTTCATTCGTTTTGCCCTAACTGATTCCTTGAATGCCTTCCGCAGAAACTCTTCAATCTCACATAGTTTGTACTAGCATTGCCATAACGTAATGCGTTAAAAATGGCTTATTAGAGCTTGCTCGATACCTGTTCGATTAAATGTGAGAACGAAGTATCAAATGTTGTTCATACATTGGATCAGTTTGAAAGAGGTAGATGGTTCATGCCACCTTGAGTATGGCGCTATTTGTGTCAAATGTTGATGTTGGAACTTCTCTTGTAGATATATGTATTCCTAATGTAGGAGCATATTTGATGCTAAAAAATCTTTTTCGTGGATCTCTTTGGCCATTGTGGGTGTGGGGACAGCTCTTTTTAATGGATATGCGCGTCATGGACTTGGATCTGAAGCAATTATGCTTCTAAGCACATGCTAGAGCAAACGGTAGTCCGTAATGTAGTTACTTTTGTTGGGAATTTTATCTGCTTGTGGTTGTGCTACCCTAGTTAAAGAAGTCATGAGATTCTTCTACTCAGTGGATGGATATTATGGAGTAGCTCTTACTTTAGAACATTATGCATGTGTGGAGTGTGGTGGATCTTTTTGATTGAGCAGGCCAACTACTAGAAGCAATTGCAATTGCAGTGGTTATTGTCGTGTAGGCAGCTTTTCTCAATGCTTGTTGGTTATGGAAAGAAATGGAAGTGGCTGAAATGGTGATCGAGCTTTCGTTCATTTTGGATACCAAGCCAACCTCAGCTTATGTCGTTTTTCCTCACATATATGTAGCATTGGGATATTCGGGGGAGAAGCTGAATATGAGAAATGGATTGAGAGAATTGAAGAATGTGAAAATGGATGCTAGGTACTGTTGTATCGACCTGAACTCTGGACTTCATGTGTTCCCAGTATAAGATAGAACCCATGGACATTGTACTGCAAAGCTAATATCTTTTCTTCAATTTAAATGTGTTTCTCTTTCAATAATTGAGGAAAATTGTTTTAGTGCATCGTAAGATAGTCGGTCAAGCTTATTTTACTGGTTGCTAAATTTAAGTTTCTGTCTGCTTGTTAAAAATTATTCAATGATGCTAATGATACAGAAGAAATAGCTGTTCGACATAAATTCATTTTCCAAGCAATTTAAGTTTTAGATTGCTGATTAAAACTTATTCCAGATTTCATATTCCTGTGAAAAGAGTAAGTTGTTAAATATTGTATTCCTTTCTATTTCTCTGTCAAGTAGTCTGCTATAGTGTGTGCTTTATTACAGCTGTTTGTACTATGATTCTGATGCACTTCAGATGTTGCATTTTTTGTTTCCTTAACCACTCTTATGTTTTTCAATGTTGATCGGTTGCAGTAAATGTTACTCTTGAGTAGTCACTTTTCAGAATCCTCTTTTATGGTTCTGTTTAAGTTTTCACCTATGATCATGTTGGAACTCATTCTTTCTATTTGCTGTAAATGGTCGGGCTCACATCACAAATTTAATTGTTCCGGATTTCAGCATTGAACTTCTGTTTTTCTTCTATTTCATGATTGTGATTCATCAGGTTATTGGACAATGACAGCTGGCTGGCATTTGCAAGGCTGCGGGTTCTCAGAATATATCCTGTGTCGGAGTTACGCTTCATGCACATAAAAGTAGGGACTGGTTATTCTGCTCATACTAGCAAAAATAGTAAAAAAAAATTATAACAGTGTTTCTAATTAACTGGGTCTTTTGCTTTTTCAGAAATTGATTGTTGAACTATATAAAGAGGCAAGACTTAAGAGCAGCTCTCTCTTTTTGTGATGTTTAAAGTTGATGCCTCCTTTTCCTTAGCACACATTTTGTTGAAAGCCTATATAAACGTGGTATTAAATTTAAGTCTAAGTTGACCAAATTTTGCCACTTTTTACCTTTTGCTAGTGAGTACTTGAACACCAATCATTCCTTTTATTTACCCCAAAGATACAACATATACAAGTAGTTATTTATGTCTTTTAGATGGCCTTTTTAGCAATCATTGGAAGGACAATGTTCTGGTCTATGCCTTGAAAAAAGTGGTTGCTGCAGAGAAAGTGGACAGTCATAAAAAATTAACATAGGGGTTTCCAACTCAAATGATGCCGACCTTGAAAAAAGGAAAATACAAAATGCTCAGTTAACAATCTAATTAATGTGCCTATTATTTTGTTCAGGTTGCAATCTACATTATTTTGCTACAGTTTTCTTTTTTCCTCAAGGTGTGCGCTGATGTTTAGGAATTCTTGCAGATGTAGGGAATTGATAAAATATTATCTAAGTTGGGATTTTCATTATACTTTAAGTGGGAGCATCTACAAAAATCCATCAAATTTTCAATAGCATCTAAAATTATGAATGAATCTAGTTTGTTGCATGTGCAGGCACAATTTACCTTCAGGGTCTCATTGGACAATGCCGCTCCTGTATTTTCACTCATTTGGGGAAAGTAACGGTTCATTATAGTGGTACATCGGATATATTTCGGCTTGAAATGAGAAGCTTCTATACTTCTTTTTTAATTTTTTTTTCATGGTATTTTATTAATTTTACAACATTAGTTAATTTTATAAATCGTAAACATCTGTCACTGCAAGAACTCCTTTTTGGAACTTCAGCTGCTCTTACTGCCTCTCTGAAGTTCAGAAAAATTATTCTCAATGAAATATAGTTTACCCTGTCACAAACAATCAAATATGTTAAAATTTTGTTAAAAGCAAACTCTGTCTGTGTTTGTGATGGAAACATATTTTGTTAGGAATGAAAATTAACTTTAGAGATCTAATAATATAGGATACTTACACTAAACAAATCTCATTCTTTTACGTAGTTTTGACTCTTGTCATTTGTAACGTCATTGACCATTAGCTGCAACTGTTTGGATTTCTCTTCATTGTTTTCTAGATCCCATTTGTCTGGTTCTTCCATGATTCCTCTTTTTCTGTACTTGCAGTACAGCACTAGTTGAAGGATTCCTAAGGGGCTACCAACAAGATTTGGGCACTGCCAAAATCCAAGAAGTTAAGTTAAAAGAAAATCGACAAGTTCATGAACTGCTGTAAAGCAAATGTTCTTGTTATAACAAGATTAAGATTGAATAATTGTACAAACCGCAAGAAAGAGATCATGGCTCAATAGTCCATAGGCCATCCAAAGAGAACTTGCAAGGAATGAGAAAAACGATAGGTAGAATGGCATGTATTCTACGCTCTTTGTCTTTATCACTTGTTTCTGCAATAATATATTTAAATTACTATTATTGAAAGTAAAGCTTGAGAAAATGTTTACTTCACCAAAAGGGTTAAGTGAGATGAAACTTAGATATTGAATGGTTGATTGTGTTTATGTTGTGCTGGACATGCTAGGATGCTAAAATTACATAACATATTTCTTTCTGTTTTAATGGTTCCTCAGCTGTCAACTTTGGCTGTATATGGTGAACTAGAAGGAGATAACGATGGCTCACCACAACCACTAGCGGAGAACCATACATTGCCGCAGAGGCCACAAGAGCAACACTCCCAACAAATATCTTGCGATGGCGGTGATCGTGGAAAGCAAAAGCTGAGATAGCTGTCGTGATGCAGAACACTAGGATAACAGGTATGACTGTGATAGCAACCTTCATCTGCACACCCAAGGTTTTTAATTGTGAATACTCATCTTGATGCATATGCATACATCCATGCAAGTATATAGCCAGCGAGTTGTGTTACTTTGTGTTATGGCAGCAAGGCATACAAGCGTACTTCGAAATACACAAAAGCATGGGTAAACTTTAGTTGTTATTCTATAGTGTGCATGCTAGAGTTGATAATTCAAGCATGCAGGAAAAAAGATTTCTGCAATAATTTGACACATAAAGTTCAAACAGCTTGCCTTTCCGTTGGCTGAAGTGAACCAAAAGTATATGAGAATGAAGGAAAACTCGAAAAGAATCCCTAAACCATTGATGGTGACCACAGGGAAGTTTTCCCATCTGTAGCTCACGATTGGCAACCCATACCAAGTGTAGAGGAGACAGTTTAGCAGTGCAATGGTGTAAGGAACGCATGAGAACTCTTCAGTGCTTTTCTTCCTTATGACCTGGTAGAAAGTTAATCTGGAGACAAAAAAAAAAAAAAAAAATAGTTTGAGTTCCATTGTCAAATGTTTTAACATGATAAACTAATATTTTGATTAAGAGTATTATAGTGTCTTGGCTGTACATAGGTGATGAAAAAAGCAACAGAGAAGCTGCATTGCCTGCAATAAAATCATGAAGATTTGATATATTAGATCACTTGAGTAGAATAATTATATTTAATGCTAGATAGCTGATGCAGGGGAAAAAAAGAAAAAAAAAAAACAAAGAAAGTTATACCCATGACTCCTACTGCTAAGCGCAGTGTATCTCCCATGTTTTTCTCGCAGCAATGATGGTCCTAAGTTGAAAAAACGGTCCCCAACAAGAAGACTTTCCAAACAACTAACTATGTCATGTGGACTGTTTAACAACCTGGAGGGATATAAATAAGGGGCATGGATAAAGCGAATATTAGAAAATTGAAAGAAGGAGAAGTGTTGTCTACATTACCATGAACCTTGTGGATTGCTTTATCCAATCAGTGGATGGAAATATTTTGCCTAATATTAAATTTTTGTCATAAAATCAGGTTGGGTTTGAGAATAAGATTAGAGGAACAGAAAAAAGGAATTCTTTGCTGTTGCCTATTGCAAGTGGAAGATGCCATGGCACTTCCACTTTCCACCTGATAGAAATCTCTTATGTAATGTTTGGCTAATCAATTAACATCCGATAAGTTTATTAAATGTTTTCTCTCCTTTGGTGTCTGGAAACATTTTCAAGGTAAAATGTATACAGCAAAAAAAAAAAAAAAAAGTTTATGTGCACCTGTTACACAGATACACATAATGTTGCATCCTCATCAGTGAGGGAGGACATATATGCTTATTTATATTTGTATCACCATCACTGAACTTGTCAAGGGCGATCATGTTCCAGATCTTTTTAATAACAGTGGGATACTGCTAAGAGTGCAAATTGAAAAAGAAAGAAAGTTTGTTGAAATACAACCCATGGTTGAGGAGGTGTCCATACGTTTTTACCTTATTAGCATCCTGTGCTGTGTTAGATTGCATCATGAAAGGATCTGCATATTTTTATCTTTCTTTTTGCATACTACTTGTAAAGGTATCCCATTTAATAGAACTGGTGTGCATGCCTGCATTAATAAATCATTTGTTAAGATAGCTGTTGATTATGATTTTAATGAAAGCAACCTGCATGACTATTTTTTAAATTTTGGGAAACAATGTCTTCCACTTCTTACATCCTGAAACTTCCTCAACTGTTAAAAGTTAATTTTCCAGTTTTACATATGTGTGACTACTGCTTTATGTAGTTTTTTGACTCATGGTGTATACCTTTGTTTTTATTGAAAACAATTTATGATTGTTTCACAAATTCTGATGGGTAAATTATAATTTATATGATTTTGAAGTTAGTCCTTTTGATTTTGAAAATCATAAGCTAGCCCCTTGGCCAGAGTCAACTGTCAAGTTTTTTTATAATTGTCTAAATTCCCCTTTTTAAATGCATTGTTTGTTTTGTTTGTATTATCTGAGATTGGAAAATTTGACTAGACATGAAGGAGATTTTTGGAGGAAAAAACAATTAAATTGTCATGGAAAACTAAGGGAGGACTAAGTTACGAATAAATGTAAAAGTACAGGGATTCATTACTGGGTTTTCTAAAGTAAAAAGATTAACTAATTATGCTGCCGAAAACATAGGATTCAGTAGTAGTTTACTCAATTCTGATAGGGCTCCTGCCACATCAGTACTGGGGATATACATGAACTTATTGAGTGCTGTGATTTTCTAAAAATGTTCTGCGTCCAAACATCTTCTAGCTGGAATAAAGAAAAGTTATGCTATTCCAATACCCTCATACCAATGGTTCAAGAAGAGAAGAATTTTTCTTGGAATCAAACCATGCATATTTTGAGTGAATTGTGTTTTTAGTTGTCTCTTTTAAGAGAAATCAAGTAGAATTTATTCTAATTATAAAAAATTTATTGTAAATCCGTCCTTAAAGATCGTTGTATGATCATTGATCTTCAAATTTCAGGAGGAAATGAGTTGATGAAAAGACACATTTGAGGGAGGTTTTTCTTAACAAAACCTTACTATCATATGTAAAAGTGGAAGTCCCTCTTCTCCTACTCAGCAAAATTTTATTTTATTTGATAAAGAGTTAGACTATTTTGCAATGATGGTGATCGATCTCAGCATCCTTTTGCCTGTGTTCCGTTTATATTCTTCACTGCCTCCAACAATTCATTAAAATTCTATATCCTCCAACATTGGGGTTTCTGATGCCTTACACGCATAAGTCTAATCCTTGAACGTTCTACAGAGTCCAGAACCTATTTTTATATTACAATTGACATAACACAGCACAGACTGGTTGCTGTAAATTGCTTTTTACAACCACTGTCCATGATTTAAAATTATACCATCAAAGTTCTATTTTTGGCAGTGAATAGTTCGATTCCTTCAAAATTGGAGGATGTTTTCAATCACCATCTATTGATATTGGTCATTCATACAGGCAGAGCAACTTACATAAGTTGTGTTTAGGGCAAATTGTGTAAGGATTAAGAATATATTCTCAGTGCCTGTGCATTTTTTTTCCCCATCATGTCAAAGCACACGATAACCTACATATGAGTGCTTAATCAAGATACAGAAGGTAAGTGGATTTATGAATTCTATAGGTTCATTAGATGGATAACTAATATAGTAATATGATAGTGGGCGCGATCATACCAGCATTAATGCATCGGATCCCATCAGAACTTCAAAATTAAACATTCTCATTAAAGAGGTTGTAGTCCAATAGTAATGGTTTCTTGCAACAAGAGATCACGAGTTCAAATTCTAATATTATAGATTTACTAATAGTTTTGAGTGTATGAGTTAAAAAAGAAGAAGAATATGATAGCTGATTTCAAACCATATTGTTTGAATTGGAATTAGTTTGGTTATTAGGGTTAGTTGGGTTATTGTGAATGTTGGGAATTATTCTCGTCCTTAACATGCTGTTGTGAATATTAGAACTCTCATTAATCGTTGATGGACGTACAGCTTGCTCTACACTTTGAGTAAAGGTAATAAGCGGGTTGATTTACTTATAAAATCAAGTGTTAATTCTTATGTTTCTTCTTATATTTGATGTACTTCTCTTCAAGATTGAAGAACTCATAATATAACGACAGTGGTATTTTATAATAAAAAATTACAAGTTCAAATCTTATCAGATTAGTTTGCTAAAAGTTAAAAAAAAATATACTTATCTTCAAAGCTTAAATTTCATTCTCCTAATTGATGGGATATCGCTTTTGTTAGATTTTATTTTTTCTTATTTTCTGTCTCCAGTACCAAAAAAAAAAAAGAGAGGGGGATATGGATGCTTGACAATGACGATCAATGAATCTGAAGATGTGTAATAAGAAGAGTCAGAAGTTTGGAGAATGCTATGACCAACAATATGGTTCCAAATAAATGCATGTTTCAAAAATGAATGAATGGTCACTGTCAATCCAAGAAGATAACAATTGCATACCCTAATCTAACCTTATCTATTTTTCATGACACGTTTTATTCACATTATTCCAAACAAAATTTCCCCGCACTGGAAAGGGAAATTCGGAGAAGAGTGGAAGCTGAAAAGAAGAGATAAATGGTGGACTCCAATGGACCTTCATTTTGTCTCGTCTCCTTCAATTAAGTTGCTAATATAAGTCCCTAGGATTTCTAATGTTTTTTAATTGAGTCCTTATCCCTTGATTTCTAAGAATTGGTTAGCATTTTGTTTTAGCATCTAATATGTTTATAATTTGTCAATCATGAACGTCGCTTTTGGTACAATTTAAAGAAACATTTTTGTGATACAAAATATATGATTTCTTGTTTTTATAAGCCTTTACAATTTTGTATTATATACTTAGGTAACTGTATTGTTACAACGTATAAAAATTGGTATGTTTCCATGTACAATAGATGCTTATTAGAACATTGAGAGTCATCACACTCAATTGTTCGAAATTTCAAAATTACAAGTAATTAGACAAATAAAAAGTTTGAGGGCTTACATTAGCAGCTTATATGAGAAAAAAGACAAGCTAACGAAGAAATCACAAGTCATTAAAGGGCCAAAAATTGAAACTGATCTCTCTTTCTTGTTAATTCTGAACGTACTTTTGAACCAATTTTTCGTAGAGTAAAATAAAGCATCTGTTTTCTTATAATAATAGGTTGAGTTGTCTATGGGGTAAATAGATCTGAATTCGATGTGTTTAATAAACAAATTGAATCGAATTTTATAAATTCAAATTTAGATTTTACAATGATCCTAACCAATGCGGATTAGATTTAAATATCCATTGGATTTATCCTTCAATTTTTTTCACAAAAAAATACTGGTTACATTCAAAAGCATGCTTCAATGTAAATAAATTTCAACCATTGCATGTATAAGAAAAATAATAATATGTAATATATCAATTTATATATATATATATATATATATATATACAATCAAATGTCTCTCCATTAGAAAGAACAAAATTAAATAATTTCGATAAAAAATCGTATTAAAGGTCAAAATTAATTTAAATTAGGCAAGAAGTACGACAAAGTTAAAGAAAAAAAAAACCTATTCTAGGCACAGCTTGATTGGAATAAAATAAAATCCTAGTATTTTACAAATAACAAGGTTGAAATGAAAAAAAAAATTCAAATTGAATCAAGATTTTATAAATTAAAAATACAATTATAATACTAGCCACAACTGTTAATTTATTTTATTTTTCATAATTTTTCAGGATTTTTCACAAAATTAATTTGAGACTTGAAAATGATGAAAAAAAAACATATCATATGTAATTGTTTGAAAAAATGACAATCAATGTAGGCCAAAAAAAGAAAAAAAAGAATAGAAGTACAAAATGTTCTTAACATCTAGAGTAAATAAATCCTAAGTCAAAACCTAGTGCTATATATATATTTTTTATTTAATTATTTTAATGTTTTTAAAATATTATATTTATTACAAATAATATTAATTTTAATTTTAGATTCGATGTTATTATATGAGATCGAGGTAGATTCGTATTTAATCTATTTAATAAACGAATTATATAACAAATTCAGATTATAATCATAGTAGGATTATTTATAAATCAAATTTATTTGGTTACATCAAAATCAGATCATGTCAAGATCCAATCCATTAATAACCCTAATCAAATAGGTCTTAATCACTCATAAGCTCGTCAAATATTCCCACAGATACTCTTAAGATTGCGCAATTTATTCAGTTAACCGGTCGAC